GGATCAATTAAACCAAAAATTGATCTCTGTCGAATCTATGATGACAATGACCAAATCAAAAATGATTCAGAAATGATTCAAGAAATAATTAACAAATACTTCAAGAATATCCTGAGAGAAAGGAGCTTTGACCTGAACAAATTTCCAAACTGGTATAATGAATATTCTATCAAACTAATCAACCAAGAAATATACAGCAACCTAGTCCAACCCCTCAACTCCACAACTATTCACAAAGCAATATACAACCTTCTCAAAAACAAAGCCCCCGAAATGTTTGGAATCAGTTATAATATTATCAAACTTATAAGTAAAAAAACCATTCTTCATATCTCTACTATCTTTAATCACATACTAATATCTTTATACATCCCTAAATTTTGGAAACAAACTATCATCACGCTCATTCCCAAAAAACTCATATGGAGCCACAAACTCAATAACACTAGACCAATATCCTTGATTAACTCAACCAGGAAAGTATTCACAGGAATTATCAACAAAAAACTTACCAAAATCCTCAAAAACAATAATGTTCTTTCTGAACTGAACTGCACTAAGTTGCCCAACCAAAGCATCATGGAATCACTATCAATAGTAAACTCTGTCCTACAAGCTGCTAATGCAAACAACAAGGAATTTTGGTTTGTATCTCTAGATATAGCAAAAGCTTTTGACTCAGCACCCATCTCTGCAATTAAAAAATCTCTTGAAAGAATCAACTGCACAAATTCTATTATCAACCTGTTCATAAATTTGCTTAGCAACAGAAAAGTATCCATCAATACTCCTTCTGGAACAACCAACCTCTTTACGGTTAACAATGGTATTGAATAAGGCAAAACACTATCTCCTATATTATAGGTAATATTTTACGACAATGTGCTAGCCTACATGGACGACCTTGCGCTTATTGCAGACTTCAAACCAAGAATGGAAAACCTCCTAAACATCGCCAATAAATTTTTTTCAATTAATAATATTACCTGCAACAAAGACAAAACCAAATAGGGGATATTCAACACTAAAATTCAGCAATTATCAATACAAGTCCTAAAACCACACCAAAATGTAAAATATCTAGAAATGCCTATTTCTCCTAAGAACTTTCTCAAAACCAATAAAAAAGCCTTCAGTCAATCAGTGGATACAATCCTACAAGAACTAAACAAACAAAATTAGAAAGATCAAATCTAACAACAAATATGTGAATAAGTAATTATGGGAAAATTAGAATATTTCCTCACAATGACCTTCCTCAACAAATCCATATTCAATCTCCTATAGGCAAAAATTAACAAACTTATTAAATAAGCATACAAAATAAACTCCAAATACTCAAATGCAATACTTATTAACCATAGCGGCCTCAATATTGCATTTCTTGAAAAAAGACAAAAGTAATCTCTAATAAGTAATCTAATAACCAAACTCTCTACTCCAACTACAAGGAAATACATAATACAGGAAATACGATCAATACAAAGGAAAGAAGCAATCTGGTTCTGCCCAATATGTGATCCAGAAGTATTTAATCAAGATAATTGAATACTCTATATCACCAGAATCACCAAGAATCTAAAAATCCAAATCTGTCCAACTGAATGTCCAAACCAACATCCAAATGCAATAAATTCAATAGGCCTTCTACTAGCCAAACTTTAACCAAATACCAGAACTATTGCAATTAACACTGCCAATGCTCTCAATATCCAGTTCACAAACCAACTTATGAAGTTCAACAGTACGATTAAACTCTCTTGGTTTCAACTAATAGCTTACACAGGAATCATTCGGTGCAGATCAGAACCCTGTTGGTTCAAAAACTTCACTAATTACAGCAGTTTACTGGGATCCCACAGACCAATACCCAATTGCAAAGCCTCTTTCTGGCTCCTCCACAATACTAACACTATTGTCAAAATTTACAAGAGACGTTATTACATCCAGGAAATCCTCCATCTTAGAGAAAGACATTTCAACATAGATAACAACAATTTTCTTATCAAATGTAATGGTTGCCCAGCTGGTATCCCAAGTGCTGGCTCTTGTACAATAAACTTCACAAGTTCAGAAGCTTTCTCCTTATGGGTTCTCTCCAACCCTTCAAATCCTAACAAGTATCACCTAAGCAATATAATTGAAGAGATCTCAAGAACTCCTCAAAAAAACAAACATATTCTCCAATTAGTAGACATTTTCTCCAACTCTCCTCCTATCTCGACACTTTAGGAAATTGGTTTTTCTCAGTCATATCATATTCAAAGACATCGGGAATACATTTTTGTAAATAACTTCAAAGTCAAACTAAACAATCCTGGTCTCTCACCCAGTAACCTGCTGCAAGTTCTCTTTGACCTTCTTCACTGGTGCTCTTCCAACAGTAAAATCAAAATAAAAAATAACAAAAGGATACCCCAAGAGATCTCTAATTATCCTAGAAAAATGACAAAAGTTAATTTCTTCTTAATAATCCAAAAAATCAACAAGATGATACTCAAGAAAATGATACTTCTTACCTATTCCAGCCTCAAGTCAAGCCCAAGAGCTAACAATACCATAAACTGAAACAATCCAACATTGTACTTCTCAGAAAACCCTCCAATCAACAATTCTCAACTGGGTAGTAGTGTCAGATGGTGCAAAAAGATTCTCAGCATCTTCAAAGTATATATAATAGTGAAAAGTTCATCAGTACTAAAAACATTTGACTCCTTTCACAGTTCTCAAGGCATCAAAATTATTAATAAATCTAACAAAGACTTGAAGAATACACAAAGTAACAAATATAGTGACCTAATTGTCTTTCGCATCAAACTCATGTCAGGAACTCTTTTCATACAAGAAAATCTCCACTAACAATATCCGGACCAATATTCTGATCCCTACTGTCCACGATGTGAACTTCATATTGAAAATATATAACATATATTTAAATGTCCAATAGCTTCAGAAGAGGCTAATCAAATCATAAAACAAATCAATCTTATTCTTTACCCCAATGGTGACTCAAAACTGATAAATCACATATGGCAGGTTGTAAAGCTAGCATGTAGCATCACTGATGATATCTTCTCACTATCAAATCTTAACAAGTAGATACAAGCATTGACTGAAGCTCTAATGCAATTATATAATACTATATGGAAACCATGATGTGCTACGCCAACATCTCCCCACTAAATAGTATAAAATAAAAAGACAAATCCTCTAGTGACATAATCAAAGACAATTAAGCAACTTCCAAATCAAATCCACAAAAATCCTTATTCTACAAGAACCAATAACAACAACAATTAACCTATCCACCTTGATCACAAACGTCTATATTCAAAGCAATTTCAACTTCTCTAAATGTATTACTAGTCTAATCCAAAGCTATTCCAATTTTATTTCTTTCAACACTAAGTAGGTAAACATAGCTGCTCGGTATTACCTGACAAGATATATTGTTTTAAATTTTATTTTCAATATTAGTCATATGGTTTCTGTAAGCAAGCTAGCATTAAACTCACTATATTTACAAATGAGAAATGTTGTTTCTTTTATGATATATACTTTTAATATACAAATCAAATAAAGAAATAATGTTTACCTACTAAAAAAAAAAAAAAATTGCATATATTTATAAGTTGTAAAGAATTAAAAAGAAAAAATTATAAGTTAGCTTAAGATTTTTTTGAAATATATATATATTTTTTATAAATTTTATAATTTACTTGTTTAATTTTAATTTTAATTACTTTTATTTTTTAATTTTTTTTGTTTTTAATTTTTTTTCTAAATAAATAGGTATAAATATTATTTAATTTATATTTAATATATTAATATTGTTTAAATTTTTTTTCAATATTTATTGTTTATAATATATAGGTAAGCTAATATTTAACTTATTGTATAAGTATATAAAAGATATTTTTTTTAAAAAATATATATAGTATATTGCAAAAAAATTACAATTATATTTTTATTTATAACTTGGTAAAAATTATTAAATAATTAATAATAAATTTAAATATAATTAAATTAATATCTATAAAATAATTTTATTTAAAATTATCTTATTATTTATTTTATTATTTAATTTGATGTTTTAATTTTTAGTAAAAATTTTATATTGTATTTTTTAATTTCTATTTAATTACTGTTTAAAAAAAGTAATATATATATATATTTATATAGTTTACTTTTTGAATAAAAGATTTTAAAAAGTAAAATAAAATAACAAATTAATAAATTAAATAATTTTTTTTAAAAAATAATAATATTAATATAATAATAAATACTTATTTAATAATTGTAAAAATTTCAATTACAAAAAAATAGTATTTATCTACTTAAAATAAATAAATAAATAAAATAATAGTTTTATAATTTATAATTAAAATAAAAATAAAAATTATTTTGAAATCTAATTAAAATATTGTTTTTTATATTTCTTAAGCAAATAAATTACAATATATAAAGATTTTTTTAATATTGACTTTCAATTTCAAATAATTAATAGATCAATAATATGTTTGCATTCAATAAGGTTTTAAATATTTAAATATTTACTATTATTAGAAAGCATCTTTATGCATTAAATAACTTTTTTTTCACATTAAATTTGTATAATCTATATATAAATTCATTCTTTAATACATTTTTACTTGAAATAGAAACATAAATTTTCAATAACCTCGTTTATTCAAAAAAAAAGTATATTATTTACGTAATCATTGGTTATAGTTGAAATATTATTAATATTAGAGACACGGACATTTCTTGGATTAACGGCTACTACACCCTTCATCATAAAGTTGTTAATGGCGTCTGAGAATTATATTGCTTCATCTAATATCTGCATGTTCACTTTAATTACATAACGATATTTTATTAACCAAATGTGATTTATGACCGAAATCAAGAGATAAAATTAACTGAAAGTCTTTATAAAGATATTAACCTATCTGTATGTAACAAACCCTGAGCGAGGGAAAAGCAAATACCAACCATTATTAAGTTGTAGAGACAAGTAAAGCGCTACCAGGCCTTTTTGGTGTTGGATTTGCACCAGCTATATCAATTGACAGAAGAATTTAATTATGAGTTTTTATAGACACTCCATCATAATACTATATTACATGCCTGAACGCGCGAATACACCAAGAATATCGGTCAAGCTTACAACCCCAATGGCATGTGTTCGTTCATCTACAACCCAGACACGGTGTGATTTCGTTGCTAATGTTAAATTTTCACAAAATTTAGTTATTCCGCAAATAGATCAGGGAAAATGTCATTGGAAAAAATCATGTACCAATCAATTTAGCGATAGTATATCCTAATGTCGAAGTTAAACGAACATCAAACACGGGATATCTATCCTATACAATGCATTTATAATAATGGTAAATTATATCAGTACTGAATTGACAGCATATAATTTGCTATAAAAAAAATACATAAGTAATAATAATCACCTGTCCATCTTCTAATCCTTGTCTGCTTCTCACATGGCTAACAAATTGCTGACAAGTCCTCCACATCAAAGAATGATTATAATTTCGTAAAATATACTGTCATGAAGAATTTTAGAGAGTGAATAAACCATTTCTTCCTTCAAAAAGAAAGAAAAAAATAATAACTTAATTATTAACTTTAACATCTGTCATGCTAATATTTCCAAGTAACCTTCCTTCGTCATCGACAATTGCAATTGAACTTATTTTATTTTCGTCTATAAATATTTAAGAGATATACACCAAATAAGTGGATGAAAATAGAATATATCAAAGTCAAAAGCAAACACGTACTCATCATTGTCAACGCGTCAATGACAAAAGAATCGGCTTGAGCAGAGATCACGAAAATTTTACCTATGTCTAGATCATGAATCTAAAATTAGCAAATGCAGTTAGCATTCTAATTAAATTTCATAATACTCTGTAACAAGAAGGACTTACGCTTTTAGGAAAAAGTTGCTCGATCGGAGGAAATTTAGTCACCTGTAAAAAAGGATTAATGAATGGTGAATAATAAACGCAATAATTAACGAATTTCATAGAGCGGCAGAAGTTTCTTACATTTTGATATAAAAATGTGACCACTCTGGACTGGGTCAGTATCCCTTTCATTTTACCATCCGCATCAATAACGACGGCTACATTTGCTTAAAATTTAATTATCAAAGTTACTATATAAAAGCATTGAAGGTGTAAAAATAACCTCTATGGGTTCCGCTTCCAAATAATTCGACAACTTTTAATAGCGGTGTTTCTGGAAGTATGCTTTGGAAAGGATTTTTATTGGATAGATCTAAATAAAAGCTTACAAATTAATATCAATTACCTGATTCCATTCATATCATAAGTTGTTCTTACCTGAGGCTAATTTGACAGGGACAGGTTGACATTCCGTAGCCAATTTTAATAAATCTCGGAATTCTGATGTTAATTCATCATCGCTCTTCTGTTGTTGCTCTAATATGTTCTTCTTTCTAAGAACGATCAATAAGTAAGACATAACGTCTGCCCCTAAAAAAAACGCGATTTATATTAGATAATTAAGATAGGATCATGTTATTTGCCATCAGTACTTACAATCGAACATTCCCACGTAGGTTTTGGTTGCTGAATCATAGACTGGCGCAGATGATATACCCTTTTGTATGAGAATCTAGAAAAATTTCAATGTCGCTAAAAAAGTTAATCAAAACTATCGATTAACCATTGCAACTTGGGAAATAGAGTACTCACATCACAAGCTTCCTCTATGGGTGTATCGCCATCGCTATAATTCGTATTTAGCATTGAGCCAATGAATTTACGCCATTAATTCTTCTGCACTAACAAATAAAAAACAAGCTTACATGACAATAACATTTTGTTCTATGAGATCGCAAGCTTTTACCAAGGTCCAATCCTGCGTCTCAGTAGCTAAACCCTCACGTTGCGCGTCGCTTCCGGAAATAGTTGAACGGCGAGGAAGTCCAGTAACCGGGTCCATAATGCTTGAAAAAAAGAAAATTAAACGTGCGTACGTGTGTGCGTATTATAGTGAACTGAAATATGCGATGTGCATAATTTTGCATATTATGTATTCATATATGGATGTTCCACAATTAACGCATGATTGATGTATTTCACGATATACTAAGTTGTTTCAAGTTATTCTAAATTCTGTAAAAAAACTTCACTTGCTAAAGAGTAGAACATTAATATGTGACCATCATATTTTTGTAAGTAATGGTGACGACCAATTAAATGGATATTTTAATATTGGCTTTAGTTGCTTACTATTTATTGCCTTTTATATGCATAGAAAATATGAAAAAAAGGATGTGCCGATTACTGAATCCTTAATAAATAAATTAATTGAACTTTATCGTTTAAGGATAATTCTACGTAGAATAGACAGATAGATTGTGTGAATTAAATTTGCGATTTTTTTCTCATCCGATAAGTTAAATTTTAATTATAGTAAACTTTTAAATTCGAAAATAAAGGAAAAGTTGGAAACGGAATTTCGAGAGTTATAATTTGGAAAATTTTTATTATAAGTTTTTTTTTTTATAAAGAGAAAAAAAGAAAATATCTGTTAAATTATCGAAGAAATAGCAGGATGTAATATGTAGTAAAATATTTAAAAGGAAACATTGTAAGATAATTATTATTACATTGCTAATTATATTTGGCATTTGCTTAAATTTCCAATTAAAATTAATGCAAAAAATATAAATAAAAATAAATATTTTTTTAGCTGTTCTTTATAATTTTTTTGATTTTACATAATAATCAATAATATAGTAGACTAAAAAAAAAATTAAAATTAAATAATCGAAAAAACTATCTTATAATTATTTTTTGTATTGTTAATATAAATTACTAATTTTTCATATCAAAAATATTAAACAATAATTATTTATCAAAAAATTTTCAAATATCTAATAAAATTTGATACAAACCTCTTTATACTATCTTCTAAACCTGAATCTTATCAATCTTCACAAGTTATAAGCAATAGAATTATATAAATTTATAAAAAAAATTTTTTTTTTAACTCAACTAACTGGGCCATACCTATATACTTATTTATTTAATTCATGTATGTTTGACATCAAGTATTATAAAAAGAAACTACCTATGAATTATTTTAGATATTGTTAGACTACATTGGATTTTATTCCATGTCAACTTGTTGCTATTGACTATAGATCCAAAGATCTACATGTGCCAAGGCTAATATGCTAAAGCACCATTAGTATCGTTATTATATGTTAAGTTTTATTTCTAGCCAGAAATGTATTAAGAAAAAGAATTTATTTGATTTGATTTTTGAAGCTATTAAAATATTTGCTATTGTCAATCTTAATAGCCATATAGAAGTATAAAGAAGTTTTAAGGCATTATTTATTAGTTTGATATACTTTTTATTTGAAAAGTGAACTTTTAGATTTGTTAACACTAGTCCAAATTAGATTATTTAATTGTCAATTACAGCTGATTAAATTCAAATTTATTAATAAAAGTTTATACTGAAGTTTTGTTGTTTGATTCAATTTATACCATTTAATACTTAAAAAATACACAATAATTCAATAAAAAAAATAGATTATTTGGCAAAAAATAATTATTTGGCAATAAAAGCATTTGACAATAAAAGCATTTGAAAATAAAATAATTTGGCAATAAAATCATTTGGTAATAAAATTATTTAACAATAAAATTATTTGGCAAAAAAATATTTAGTTAAAAAAATTTGATAATAAAGTTACAATATTTTGTAATAAAAATTGTAATATTCAAAATAAATTTTTATTATTTAACTATAAAGTTGACAAAATCATTTAGCATTATATATTTTGATAAAATCAAATTATATATTTTCAATAAAAAAATTATATTTGTAATAATATTCAGTAAAATTTAATTAATACTTGATAAATTTATTAAAAATATAAAAAATATAAAATTTGAAATAATTATTCACATGTTATTTATTAATTATTTGTTAATTGTTCATTAATTAATTATTTGATAATTGTTTGCATATTATTCACTAAATTTTTTCTTCATTTCTTCATCCAAATCTTTTTGCTCATAATTTTTGTTTTTTTCTTTTGTTGATTTTGCCATGGCCCTTGTAACTCTTGAAGATTTTATAATATCAAATTTTCTTTGTTTTGGGATACTTTTTTGTGGTTTTTGTACTTCTTATGATTTTTCTTTAATTTTTTTTTTAATATTGTTTTCCAAATTTCACCCATTTGTGTACCTTTTCCTGTTTGATTCTCCTTTTCCTCTGAATACATAAGTGATTTCTTATAATCAAATATCCTTCATTTTTTATATTTTTTTATCAATTGCTTATTTTTTTTTTACTTTGTTCTATTTTTTGCTCTTCATCCTCTAATTTACAAACCCAATTCAAAAAGTTTTCTGGTGGGGTTATATTGTAACAATAAGATTCACCATAATTTCATTTACAAGTTAGTTGAAATAATTGAATCAACTTTAAGTATTCATTCAAATTTTTCAATAAATCTTTCAACTATAAAATAATTAGTAATAAATTATTCAGTATAAAATTATTTATTAAAAAATACTTCATTAGAATACCAACTATAGTTATATATGTTTATTCTTCTTTTATTGTTGTTTTCTGAATTAGTTTTACTTTCTTCAGCTGAATGGACTCTTTGGTTCTTTAACTATATAGATTAATTCCTTCTGGTATCTTGTAATATTCTTGAACTTTTTGTTAATAAGTGACTGTACACTTTTGATTTTTTGTACTCTTTTCTTTATTATTAAATAAAAATTAATACAAGTAATGTAATATAAATATCAATTAATTTTATCTCATTTAATCAGCTATTTGTATATAAGTGACGATTGTCTGCATCTAGTTTTTCTATTTGTACTTTTTGATATCTTCCTATTTGATAACAATATAAAGCATCTAACTAATCATTCAGCTGCTTTTGTGATGAATTAAAATATAAGGCCATTAATTTTAATAATTTGGATATTAATTTGCTTAATATTTTTTTATTTGCATTACTTGAATAAACTTCATCTACCCTTAGTTAAAGTTCTTTAAGAATAGTTTTCATTAAAACCTTCATTTCAACTCTTGCTTCCTTTTCTTTTTCATCTTTAAAAACAGTTTCTGAAGATTCAGTCATTTCTATTACTTTATTTTTTTCGACATCTTTATCCTTTTTAATACCTTTACCCTTTTTGATATCTTTACCTTTTTATTTAGGCTGAATTCTTTACTCTTTAATATATTTGATATATTTTCAAAATCTGAAATTATATATTTAATTTCAGACATAGGTTTGAATTGATATTCAGATTCGGGTTGATATTCAAGTTTGGATTGGTATTCAGGTTTGGGTTGATTTTGAGGTTCAGGTTGATTTTGAGATTCAGATGTTATTTTTGTAATTTCTATAATACTATTAGCTCTAATATTAATTTATGTGATTTTAGCTATTCATTTTTCTTTTTTAGATATTCAATATATTTCTTTTGCCAATTTGATTTATTGAAAATAATCTATTTATTTGTTCCATTGTAACTAATTGTGCCTTCAAATTGAAATTTGCTTTTTCTAGTTCATTCACCTTCATATATAACTCTTCATTTTCTAAATAAATCAATAAATTAGTAAAAGTAAATTTTATGATTCAAAAATAATTTAAATTGTACTTTTTTTTATTTCCTACTGGGTTCAAGTTATAGACTTCAGTTCAGGAGTTGATACTTATACAACTTCAGTTGCTAAGCTTTTGGGTAATGAAAGAGATAGGTTTTTTTTGAACAATTCAGCTACTATTATAGGAATTGAATCTTTGATACTAGTGATTATTGCATGCTCTTCTGATATAACAGATAAAAATAAATATTGAAATTGTAAAAAATGTTTTGAAGGTTGTAAAGGTAATGAATATTATAACTTTTTTCTATAAATATTTTTATAAAATGATTTTTCTTGTTATTCAGACATTTTGACAAAAATTAATTTTGATTAAATTAATAAGAATATTTATATAAATTTTATATATTATTTTGTCATATAATTTGATATTTATTATATTATTATTTGCATTATTTTGTATTGTTATAATTTTTATTTAGTATTTTTATATTAAAAATTCGTTATTTGATATTATTATATTTAAATTTGTCATATTATATTTATTATTTAGTCTTATTAAATAAAAATTTGTTATATTATATTAATATTTGTATATTATATTAAAATTTGTTAATATTTGATAATTCAGAGTTAAATAATATCTTTTGTCACATTATGTTTAATATTTGTCAATTGAAATGATAAAGAAGTATTCAATTTCAACTTTACTTAATGAAAGTTCAAAAAAAAAAAAACCCTAAAAAAACAAAAGTTATTTGCAACTATAATAAATGCAATTAATTACTTGTTGATTCATAAATAGAGTTTTTGCATAGATACCAAAAAACAAAAACTAAAAACTTGGCAGATCAAAAATTTACTATTCAGTAAAGAACCAAAAATATTTTGCTAAATCAAATTATAGCTTTAAGCAATAATCAACAAAATTCAATACTGAATAATATTAATACTAAAAATAATGAATTTGAATCCAAAGTCAAAAACAACAAATCTGAATTTAAAGTGATAATGAATTTAATAACAGTTTTAATGACATACTATATTTGAAAATTATTTGGCTCCTAATTATGAAATTCCATCATATTTTAATAAATTTGCTAATAGCCATTTTATATGGATTTTATTATGGATTATAAACTTTAAAATAAGATTTAATTTGTTAGATACTGCAATAAAAGCACTTATAAAATTTATAAAGTTGGTATTAATTAAAATCAACACTAGCAAATATAAACTTTTTTGTGAATTATTATATATGGCCAAAAAATTACTTGGATTATCAGATCAATTCATTAATTTTGTGGTATAACAAAAATGTTTCAAATTATATAAACAAGATG